CCATTGAATTTCACATGGCCTAGCTTTCCAAAAAGTTGTTCTCATCCAAGATGGACTGCAGTTTCAACCTCGAATCGGTCTTATCAACACCTCCAGCGGGAGTCGAACCATGACAGTGCAGAGTGGGAGCTTGCAACGTTAACTACTCGGCCACATTGCCACGAGTACACTTGGGTCACAGGGCAAATGTGAATTTCAAGGAAGGTCAGGCCTTTTGGCATATCATATTCTTTGGTGCGATCGCCGATGAAATAAACGTATATTTGCTAAAACAATCGACTACGTTACTTATTTTGTTGTATTTAAGTAGAGTTTCGGGACAACACAAACACACAAACAGGCACATACAGAGATAGGCACATTCACAGGCTTCGAAGTTGAAATATGACCGTAACTAACCAAATCACTTTATACCTGAGTAGAGTATATATAACTATTTTTAGGGGTTTGCCGGTGAGTTTTCTTAACTCGTTAGCTTCAAGTTGGTTCGTCACAGGACGAACGAAACTCAGCACCTTTTAACCGGAATCGAAAGCGATTACCTTGGAAACAGCGTCGCCGTGAATGTTCCAGTTAAGCCAATCGACAGCTGGTCAAGATAAATCCGCCGTTGTCTTCTGGTGGAATCGAATTTCCAATCTCTTCACCAAAGACAACAATAAAAATAGCGACTTTAAACCTTAATAGGACAGTTGCTACGCCCTGTTTTAATTGCTTAGACCTATGTTGGGAAGACTTTCCACCGGAAGACAACGGCCAAGTCCCGTTGTTGTGCAGCCGTATGGCTTCAATATGACGTGCATGTTTACACAATCCACGACACATCCTCCTTCATTTTGGGCGAAACCGGGCTGAGCTTTCATCCAAAAACACAAGGTCAAGACGACTGTCAGGCTCTATCTTTTATCTTGCATATAGACATAACTAAAAGGAAAAATGTTTATAATTATATGGATACATATGGAGAGTATAAGTTGACGATCACTCTTTCATGTTGGCCGTGGTACTTCTAATTGAGCGTCTGTCTGTCTACGCGTGGTTGCGTGTGATAACATCTGTATGCAATA